CCAGTCTAACGTCAACTCTCCTTGGGTTATACCTATATATATCTCCAGTAGTATATCCATTTCAACGTGTCGAAGGGAGCGACTTTATGTTTCTTGTCTTCGTGTCTCTTTTACTTCATCAGATTTTGGTTCTATTTTCTTTTTCATATTATAAACATCCACACTAAGAATGAGATGAATAATTTCTGACGAGATTCGAAAATAATATTTCGAAAACAATTGTTGATAATCTAAATTACCGCTTTGCTCTCCACCATTGATTGCTAGAGATAGTACACGTGATTGATTATTGCAGACTACATCGTGAGACCTCCCAGCACTAATGATGTGGCTCGCTAATCCGTATATAATTGAGCTCAAACGTAATATGTAATTGACATGTGAGGAATACTATACGGTTAATTAGATAGCTTCAATTGGACATTGTGATTATTGTGGAGTGAAAGTTTATTTTTAGTAAACTATGTGATAATACGTTTTCATTTTATGTAATATTATATTTTTATTTAAGAAATTGCGAGGTTTTCTTTTTACTTTACTTTCGCTGTTTTGTTTAGATACATATTAACATAACGGTATCGATGGTTGTCAAATTATATAGTGTGTAATTTGTTTATTTTTTACTGGTGGTTGGATGTCTTATTTACTGGTGGTAGACGTCTTGTTTACTAGTCGTAGAGCTCTTCCTACTTCTGCATGAATCAGTCATGTGTTACGGTAGGTACCACCACCGTGCCTATTTCTAGCGTGAACCAGTAATGCGTTACGGTTTGAAAGTTGGAGTAGCTGTTGTACTGTACAAACTGAGACTTAACAACTCATATCTCAAGTTGGGTGGTGGCATTTAAGTTGTAGATGTCTATGGACTTACTGGTGGTAGGACCTCTTGTGAGTCCGCACGGGTAGGTACCACCACCCTGCCTATTTCTGCCGTGAAGCAGTAATGCGTTTCGGTTTGAAGGGCGGGGCAGCCGTTGTAACTATAATTGAGACCTTAGAACTTATATCTCAAGATGGGTGGCGCATTTACGTTGTAGATGTCTATGGGCTCCAGTAACCACTTAACACCAGGTGGGCTGTGAGCTCGTCCACTCATCTAAGCAATAAAAAAAAAAAAAAAAATGGACTCCGGTAAGTATATCAGGTGGTGTCGTAAGGTCATCCAACCACATAAGATAATAAAAAAAATAGCATCCTTATTCTGTAAGGTAAAACGACTGATTCGTAAACCTATAACAAATAAGCCATTGGTCCGAATAAAACCGTAAATAAAACTCATTTTCGTACAATCCAATTCGTCATTAATAAACAAAAAGACAACAAAACAATGAGGTCCTGACTTGATTACCACGTCCCGGACGCCATTAAACTTAATCATTTTAACAGTTAAGTAACATAATTCAATTTGCATACAAAATGACGTGTCTTTTCTGTACCTAGTGGACAATTCAAGGGTCGCATTGACCGTTCGGGTGGCGAAATTCAACTGAATAATTTATCTGTAATCTAGCATTAAGATAATTGAATGCTTTGTTAGTTGATTGCTAATTCAAATTCATGATTATTTAAGTTTCTGATTGCTTTTAAGTGATGACTGTTTAAACGAAGGCTCTGAGATCGTGGTCAATGAATGATAAAAAAAATATATGTTATGTTTTGTACGTTATTACAAAGTTAAGTCGTACACTGTGTGCATTACTAATAAAAATCTTACGTTACGGACGTTTTTTCCCGGTTAGAGTACCCCTCCGCATCGTCTCATAAGGAACTTCGTTCTCAAAACATACAAATCTTAATTACGACAAGATCTCCCTAGAAAAAAAATGCGAGTCAAAAAACCGAATTAGTTAGAGATTAAATACGTCGTTGATCTCAGCTAGGTAGCCCTTGAAATGCGTGGCGGATTCAACGGGGTTTTATTGCTCGGAAAACGGTAAAAAAGATCCGCTCGGGCGAGAGTCTTGAACTGTCAAAAGCAATGTTTGTTCCAAACTATGAGCGGTCGCGTGTCAATATAGATACTAGTGGATAGAACAACATCAGACAACAAATTAAAACAACTCATCGTATTTGCAGATACTATCTTTTTGTAACGTATGAAAAACTTTGGAATTGGAAGAATATAATAAATAATAATGGCTGTATAAGTTTTTCTACAAAATGCATAAATCTTATCTACCTATCAAAAAATTAGATGCATCATTGCACATCCGAAAACTATAGCAAAAATATTACATTCAATTTTACCGTACAGCATTGAAAAACTCTTACTGCAGAAAAATCTGGACGTCTTTACTGCATTTTGGTAGTCCATTAACAATAAAAGAGATGTGATAAAAAAAAAAACTCTCAACTTAGACCAAACTCAAACCACTCCCAGCAATTCGTAAGGAAATCAAAGCAAAGGAAACACAAAGCGGCGCAAAATATCGCGCCATCCGCCACAGAACCCCCCAATGACCAGTTCTTGACGCTAAATTTAGCATTTTTCCACAAGGGGCCGAAGCGACCCTTCCGCTCGTCCATTGAATAACCCTTGCACTTGCTATGCGCGTTTGACCCCTTCCTGTTACGTTATTTATAATACAAAGAATAATATCGATAAATTATATTTATGGTACATTAGATTTACGAAAAGGAAAAATGATGCACTGTGTTTCATAATGATGTAACTAAATGGTAATTGAAGGGATATTAAGGAACAGAAATACGAGCTCGATAATGATGAAGTTACTACTGACCTTATGAGTCCCTGAAAATACTCATGGGTAATGCCAAGGCTTCTAGAAAATATCTTTTACTGGTATCTGTCAATTAAATATGGATGGAAAAACATGAAACTTTATTAGACTGCTAATAACTTTTAATTTAAAACTTTTCAGTTTAGTTGGCTTGCTAATCAAACCGCTAATCACTAGCACCCTACGCGTGAATCCTACCATCAGTGGCCGATCACTGTATTATGTTACAGTATTTGACTAGGTAAATGTAGTATAGATCACGGTCCAAGAATGATGAAAAGTAAAAATTGAAGAAATCTGGGTTTATATGCTCGTACTTTCTAAATGATAGCGGGATAGACTGGCATCGTTAAAAACTTCTTCTGGTCTCTTGTCGTCAAAATATCAACACATTGGTTGTAGCGTTAATTTCAAAAATTAAGCCGCTTGATGCCGTCTTTTAGTAATATTTTTATAATTTAAAAACCCATTTTAAATAACTAAACTAAACGTAAACACATTCTTAAGCACACGAATGCAAACACCAAACAATGTGTCCCCAACGCCCTTAAAATTTGGATGTACACCGAAATTTGCACAACAAAAGCCTATAAAATGGAGACCGTTCGAATATCCCCGTTCGTAATGAATTCGAACCTGCGCATACCGGTCCCATTTGCAAATTCACATCAACCCTTAATCTGCCTCTGCGTTTTACGAGACCTACAGCTATATCTGTCAATGTCCTTATCAATAAATTGTGGACGTTTAGAAGGAACGACGTCGTTTGACGGTTTGAGGCGGGCGAGGTAATCCGCGGTCTATGGGACCCCATCTGCGCGCAAGGGTTAAGTCGCGACAAATAGACCATTTGCAAATAATAAGACGCAATGAAAGAATAAATTAAGGATTTCGATTTGGGTCTATTTGGTAAGTGGAGGTTCGAGAGGGGACTGTAAGTGTAAAATCCTTTGCTAACTATTAGAGATAATTTTTCTGTAAAAGAAACAACGCCTTTTGAGGGCGATGCCCTAGCGGGAACTACTGTAATGGATAGCTTCGGAGATGAATATTTTGGGTCAAGAAGTCCGAGCTATATTTGGACATGAAAACTAGATGGAAAAGTTACAAAAGTGTAACGGAGCGTCGAAGTGACGAGAAAATATTTTCTATTAGTAAAAAAGTAAAAAAGTTTGATAGCTCATATACCGTCGTAAAAATTGCTATCATTGTTTTGCGAATTAATCAAGGAAACTCCCAATTCCGAGCAATTAAATTTAAAGAGAAACTCACTCATAACAATATCAGCCTCCTGGAGCGTTGATCTCTTAAGACGTTCTTGTTGGCAATTAATAATTATTGCACCTAGTTCCGTTTCCGGTAGGGAGGCACTTCCGGTACGCTAGGGGAATATGTTAATAAATATTAACAGAGAAGTGACAGCAGAAGATTTCGAGTTCCATATCCGAATATTTGTCTTTATTAAGTTTGACAAACAGATGAACTGGTGGTTCGAGTGAGCCGTGTATTCCAAAATAACATCACGTCAAAAACAAATCGACAAAAATATTGAAATGGAAACGACGCGGATAGAAGAAAAGTAAGTGTCACAATAAATCCAAATACCAGGTTTCCCTAATATAACAGCACACCGAATTTCTACACATTAAATAAAATATTTATCGCTACATACCAACATTAAACAACTGAGTTTTAATTACCGGGATGCGCTCAACGTTTCGCGAGTTTATTGCTCTGCAGTAACTACCGAACGCACAGTTTATGACGTCACGTTTGCAATAACTGATAAATAGAACGTTAACGGAGAATTTGATGCTGCCGGATACCAACCCGGCTTTTGTAACTACAACAAATTTACACCATTTGTATTATTTAGTCGACCAATTTAAGACCCAATAGTTCGAATTATCGGCCAATAATTATCCAGCTCCTGAAGAGCAAGACCAGAACAGAAGAAAATTGGTCTACATTTCTTTGCACTCCAAGGGTCTAATGATCAAGATAATTGCGTTGAATGATGTGTGTATTTTAGGGTTCCATTTTTTTATTACGCTTGTAGGCAGACGAGCATACGGCCTACCAGATGGTTAGTGTCACCATCGCCCATGGACTTCAGCAGTGCCAGAGGCAGAGCCAAGAAGCTGCCTACCGTTAAGTACTTTCCACAAGCCTCGTTTGAAGAAGGATATGTCATAACGCTCGGGAAACACCGTGGGGAAAAAATTTGGATAGCTCGGGCATATAGTGCGTATGGAGCAGAATGAGACTGTGAAACGGGTGTGCGTGGGTGTACCGGGACGCCGCCCCATAGGGAGACCCAAGTACCGCTGGTCAAACGCCGTGGAAGGAAATTTACGTGAACTCCAAGTACGGCAAGGTGTTGCTCAGCGTCGGGATGAATGGGAACGTTTACTGTCTGAGGCCAAGACCCACTTCGGGGTCATGGCGCCAGCGTAGTAGTAGTAGTAGTAGTATATCCCACCGGTGGGTGCCAATGTTCATAAGCTTCTGCGTCTATGCTAATTTAAATATATATTGAAAAAATAATTATATTTCTATCATTTCATAAGCATAGATAGTATTGTATATAAAAATTACTGTAAATATTTAGATATAGGTAAATCACAAATTGTTAGAGTTAGATTAGTCAGTCGGCGAGCCATTTTGCTAAATTCTAAAGGTAGATATAAACTATAGACTGAACAGCATCCACCTTTCTATACAAATGACGCACATTAGTTGGTGTACAACTAGAATCGCGTTCTATTGTGCAAGCTTTTATCAGCACAAAGACGATCACCAGACTGTGAAATGTTCTAGTATTTGTCAAACAGCACGTTGATGCGACTTCAGAATGGAAACATCCGTTAAGTTTAGTCGAAATGATTCTTTGAGAACGCTACCTGATTGTCGTTTGTTGAACTCGTGTTCTCCTTTTATCGAAATGTGACTATGATTCCTGCTCAATACTTCAGGATCCATTTTATGTAGGTATTAGATAGGTTCTTTTGTTTTGTTATTGGCTTTCTGTATAAAAAAAAAACTACGGAGAATATCGAAGACATCACCCTGCCTATTTCGGCCGTGAAGCAGTAATGCGTTTCGGTTTGAAGGGTGGGGCAGCCGTTGTAACTATACAGAGACCCTTAGAACTTATATCTCAAGGTAGGTGGCGCAGTTACGTTGTTGATGTCTATGGGCTCCAGTAACCACTTAACACCAGGTGGGCTGTGAGCTCGTCCACCCATCTAAGCAATAAAAAAAATAAAAAAATACATTAAAGGTCTTCGTCTTTAAAACAAAACCAAAAAAAAGATACTGTTGACATACCCAAGACAATACGATACTTAAATGACTTGTTTCCGTTTCTTTTTGTAAGCATAATTTCTGTACCAAAAACATTTTGATTAGAATGTTTATTCACTTAAATATATTAATTATCTTTTTAAGATTACGCACCATTTCATTATTTCAGAATTTTTATATTTCTTCAGCCATACGTAGCAATCAAAATGAAAAATAACACAGTTGAAATTCATACAACAAGTCTAATAAATGTAAAATAGACGCACTTCAATGATTGTGTGACCAACTGTGTGACTCATTGTGATAGAGGTTTGTCTAGTCTATTAGTGACCCTGATTACAGACTGGGATGAGATTATAGTATAATTATCTTCTTCTTACCCTTATCCCACATTATGTGGGGTCGACGCAGCATAATATCCTCTTTTTCTATTCTATTTATCATCACACATATGTACATCATCATACTGCACAGGATTTTGGCATGAGCTTACCGACGAGCCACCTACCTGACTTCAATCCTTCTTGAGATTGCTACTATTGGCCTAAGATCGCAATCAGTTAGTCAACTTTTATGAAACATGAGAAGATATAAGTCAGTCCAATTTTAAGCCGGGAACCGCACGGTGAGGTCGGGTCAATATGTTGACAAGACACTGAACAAAGAAAAAATTTGTAACTCCCGAATTTTTAGCGATTCTTCTTAAATAAATTAACATGCCAAATTTCATTACTAAAGAAAACTTCACTATTCAAATACATTAAAAAACTGAAATGAAACTAATAAAGTCATACAAACAGGAATTTAAAGATCAAGAACTAAAATCGCCCTTAATGCATATTACAGACAAAGGCTGCTTACATATTTCGGTCACCCAAATTTACAGGGAATGCCTCTTCTCGGCGGAAACTAATAAACATAGCATCAATTCTCCCCACACGTCGTAACACATCATTAATCTCTGATCTATGTGACATTTAATTACCTAAAACACCATATATTTGGCGTTCTTCCGTCTCTTGCCCTATGGCGATCTTTCCCAGTGTTCGCAAAATTATAAATACGAATTGCTACTCAAAAATGCACTCTATCCGTTTGCGATATGATTGAATGATTTGCTTTTTTGAATTCTGTTGTCCTGTTGTCTTTTCCTGGTAAATTGATTGTAGACGTTTGTCTTTCGAATTTCGTTTCTATCTCATCGTAATAAAGTTTCAGTTGTTTGAGTTTATTTTGTGATAGTAATTAATATTGCCTTTCTTATAGCTTCACGGCTAAGATTTTATTGCCTGTTTGAAGATAGGAATTTATTCATCTTTGTTTCCTATTCCATTCAATATTGTAGTAAGTATTGTTTTCTTAGAATGTTAAAACAGAAACATCTTCAATAGAAAATAACCTAGTACTTTTAAACATTTTTCACCACGCATCCATTGAATGGCATGCGTCAAATTTTATAATGGCAAAAAACATACGGAATATGCTAATTGGGTTATGTTTTTGTTTAATATATAACAAGATGAGTAAGGTGAAATTTCTCATAAATGTTCCGATGAAATATTAGACCTAAGGCGAATTTAAATTTAAAAGTTGATGTAATCTATCCAGACTGGATATGGAAACTTCTACAAAAACGTAACAAAATAGACGACCAAATTTTTCAAAATGAATAACTGGCATAGAGTAACAATTTTTTAATTTAAACTGGTAAATAGACCAATTGAATAATACACGGAAGGAAACTATACAGTTCTTCGGTTTATTTTATTTCGGGAACATTATCCACAAATCATATTCCATGAGCGGTGACTATCGATATTTTAGTCGATGAAAAATGTCGCAGTACCTACTAGACGTTTATTTGATGTCTATCACGCGTTCATGATGAATGTTCCGACATGCCGGCTATGTGAAATATATTGCATTTTTGAGACAAAAATAATGATATTCCCTGAAATTTTTACTATGATCTACATATTTTTCATTATTTTTATTGTAGTTTAGATATTTAATAGCTAAGCTATATTGGTTATGGATACTTATAATTTAAGTCAAATTTATAAGTTTATTTATTTATTTTATTATTTATTTTTTTAAAGGTATTTGTCTAAATCATTTAAAATCTTTTGAACCTCGGAATTAGTAAAACGATATCAGATTTTTTTTTAAAGTTATTAATTAAAATTGATGACAAATTACGGACCGTCCTTCTTCAAACGAGGCTTGTAGAGAGTATTAAACAGTAAGCAGCGGATTGGCTCTGTCGCTGGAATTTCTTACATCCACGGGCGAAGGTAACAACTCACAACCTTAACCAGTAACAACCTTACCCCAAAAATTCAGTATCTTTTCTCGATTTCTGCGAACATGTGTTGCGACGGGGTGATGACTCAATGGAGCGCCTTGTAAAGCAAGGCATGATTGAGGATACAAGTCCGCGCGGCAGATCACCGTAACGATCGACCAATTAAATAAAGGCAGCTCTAAACGATCCTGCCAACGAGTGCACTAGAAAAGAATGGTGACGTCTTGTAAAGCGCACCACCACCCGAACTTATGAGCACTACCTCTTTGCCAAGAGTGCAAACGGTTAAGAAGAATAACCACTAATCACGCTTTGGCATATGTGAAAACAGTCGAAGGCGAAAACCGAGTGGATATATCCGTTAGAAAACGAAAAGCAACCCTTTTCACTATACTATTCCTGAACCAATCGTAAATTTATCTCTCGAGCTATTAGTCCGATAAAATTCAACTCGCCCGATAAATAAAACCGACTTTGACGGATGGCGAGTTTCCCTCGAAAAGAATACTGTTACCAAACTAGCTTTACGTCTTTAAAAAAGATAATTTAAACCTTAACCCGTCGCCTTAGAGATGGTTCGAAAATATTGTGTTCTTTGGTAATTTTGTGATATTATTGTATCTGTGTCACTTGGGAACGTTTTAGTCCGAAACTAAACTTATTTAACGTCGACTGAATAAAACATTAGCAAAAGAAACATGTTCGTGAAACAAATTTCGTATAGAATGATTCATTTTGTTTACATACCGATAAAGAATTGGTTTGAAATTGACCACATTCGTTCAAAGATTATGTTATGAGATAGGGGATATCGATTTTTTTCCCGATAAGCTCCTTTGTTACTAAAAGGTAAATTTTCACATCTAGTGGTGTTATAAATATCCTGATTCTACTACAGAGCCTAAAATCATATAGAACGGTAGGTACGGGTAGGTGCCACCACCCCGCCTGTTCCTGCCGTGAAGCAGTAATTCGTTTCGGTTTGAAGGGTGGGGCAGCCGTTGTAACTATACTGAGACCTTAGAACTTATATCTCAAGGTGGGTGGCGCATTTACGTTATAGATGTCTATGAGCTCCAGTAACTACGTAACACCATGTGGGCTGTGAGCTTGTCCACCCATACAAACAAGAAAGAAAAAAGATGTGTGCTGTCGTGGGACACCGAATAGGAACGAAGTTCCTTATTATAAAAATATTAATTTTAAGTTCTATTCGAGGTATAAAGAAAATAATTATTGGGGTATACATCTTTTATTACAATTTTTTTATTGATAAAAATAAAATAAAAACTTTATTTTATTTTATTCGCTTTAATTTATAAAAAAAATTATAATAAAAATATGTTATTTTTTCTACGTTATTACAAAGTTAAGTCGTACACTGTGTGCATTACTAATAAAAATCTTACGTTACGGACGTTTTTTTTCCGGTTAGGATGCCCCTCCGCATCGTCCCATAAGGAACTTCGTTCCAAAAAAAAGGTATCATAAATAATAAAAACAAAGATTCCTTCGAAGTAGCTTCATTTACTGAAATTCCCGTGCTGATTTAAAATTCACTCGCAATATCTCGCGAAAACTTCGTCATCGCATTAAGGAGTTCGGAATAAACAGGAATGTAAAGCAAACGTGTCATAAACAATATTAAATCCTAAAAGTTTTCGCAGTCCGTACATCTAGACTCAGGTATATTAGTGCCGTAAGTTTCATTCGACGTACGGAACCCGACTTGTGCATTTCCTTATAAAAAAACATGGAGCTGCGAATGAAACTGGCGAATGTGGCATTTCACGTATGTAATTAAAATAGTCGATCCGTAAGAGGAATTTGAGTTAAAATTTTCTGG